TCAGTTGTGACAAGCATAAAGATGAAACTTGGTGGCATATAATCGTTTTCGTCTCCCTGTACGTATAAGACAACAATTTTCTCGACTGAGTTTCCGTCACAAATCAGCGTATAGACATATAAGTTGTGTTTCTCCACTGTGACCAACTCGACCATCGGATGTTTAGTCACCTTATTTTCTTTTTTAAAGGGTTGACTGACAATTTTTAGCACTACTAACTCCGCCTTCGGTAGTATCATCGAGTTCAATGAAAAGTGCGGTACTGCCTTATCGGCATCTACCTCTGGCTTTTAAGGCTAAACTTGGAAGCACCAGTGAGACGGGAAAGCTGTGATCGAGGGGTAGCAGGTTGCTATTCTACTAGCTCGAGGTGTTTTCGAGGCCAGTTGGGGGAAATATTGAGACCCAAGCGAGGGATAGGCTGCATTATGGATCGAACGAAAAAGCCTTTTGGGAGACAAGACTAAGAGAACTGCAGAAGCAATCTGTGGCCATTCTTTCCCGACCATTGCGGACACTTGAAACGACTTAATATAGCAATTTTTCTTCTATAAAACATCTGCTCAATCTTTCCAGACAAATTCGCGACTAAAATGAATCCAGGGACCAGCAAATAAATGGCCTTTCGTCTTTTAAATCAGACATTTTGGATGCAAAAATCAGGTAAACTTGCATTTTCATGGCTTTTCAGAGTAGCGATTTCATAATCCTCCTTGATAAGTTGAACGGAGAGGCTTGCTTTGATGCTTTACTTCACACCATCTTGTACATCATACTGTCTTCCGATTCAGGCCCTACTTATGCTCCACCAGACACATTGCTCCTTTCAGGTGTACATTCATCAAAGAGTTAAGGTCTAGGTTGACAACGCGTAAGAGGCCAGCACCAAAGCTATTCTCAGTACATTTAGACCATACTCTCGCAAATAACGCATTATCCCAAGCATTATGATTATATAACAATAAACATTATTTTGCAGGTATGGCAAAAAGACTTGAGCAGAAAAACGCGCCAAATAATTTATTGACATTCAGAATAATTTTGACTCGGCTGGTCCTCAATACTGGGATAAAAATAAGCCGCGTAGTTCTATTTCTTCTGTCATATCATAAAGAAAAACGCTTCTGTATTGTTGGCTTAATTTTAGAATATTTTTCATATATAAGCAGAGTTTCTAGACTACCAGTAAATCAGTTATATGAGATGTATTCACCCTATTCCGTTTAAGGTGATGAAGGACTGGCATTAGAATTTTCCCATAATGAAATGAATAGAACTGATGTTTCCATTGAATTTCACATAGCCAAGCTTATATACGAAAAATAAGTTATATAGTCGATTTTTATAGCAAAAATACGTTGGCATCATCGACAATTCCACCAAAGCATGTGATATGGGAAAATGCTAGACCTTCCTTAAATTCACATCTGCCCTGTGACCCAAAGGCACTCGTGGCAGTGTGACTGAGTGGTTACCGAGTCAGGCTCAAATACTGCACTTCAGAGTTCGACTCCCGCTAGAAGTGTTTATAAGACCTAGGCGAGGTCGGACTGCAGTCCACCCTAGATGTGAACAGCTTTTAGGAAAGCAAGGCTACGTGAAATTCAATAAAAAATGTTGGCTATATTCATATAATTGTGGATACTTTCTACTACCAGTCCTTCATCACCTTAAACCAAATAGTGTGAATAAATCTCATATCATTACTTTTAACATGACTCCATATTAGTCTTCATAGCCTAGCTCTAATAAAAATATTTCTGGGTAAAATATTAATATTCCTTAATTCCATGGTCGAGATGACATAACAGTATTTTTGTTATATTTAAAGAAATTCCTGTTTAACGCAAACTGCAACAACTTCACCTATTGTCCAAATGCCGTTTACCATTGCTTACTCGGCTTAACTAATTACTTGCGTAGCACCGATTCGTCCGTTCAAGTCGTCCTTAAAATAAAATCCAGTTCATCTTAATTTGATACTCTTTAGTCATTCTTTTCATCTATTCCCCGAACTACTTAGGTTACCGTTAACACATGCATTGTAGGTTTTCGAGCATGTAAAATGCCTTAGATACACTAGTCAAATATTGAAAGTGACCTGCATCCGTGTTTCTTTCACCCATTTATCTTTTTCCCTCTGGCACACTTGCATCGCTTGTCGCCCAATGTATGCTCACTGCATGTATTTAAGGCCATACGAGCCTAATGTGAACGGCCAGAAGAAATATGATATTTTATGATGCTTAGCTCTGCGTATAATTTATGTTGGCTCGTAGGATAGACTTGACTAATAGCATTTTTACACGTATTTTAAAATCAGCAAGATAAGTTTGTCAAGTGTGCTTACAAGTGATTTATTGGGGATAGTTGTCAGCATTTAAGGTGGGAAAAAGCCCTCTTTGGAACGCCTTGACGAGTGAAAACTGTAATATGGAAGCTTAACAAAGCACTTTGACGACTAATTATGGATTCTCATTGAATCTTTCCACATTTGCAGACGGCTTGTTGCTCCATTGCTCGTCACAGAGGCAAGCATCTTTGC